GAAGATGGCCGCACCCTCTCTGACTACAACATCCAGAAGGAGTCCACCCTCCACCTTGTCCTGCGTCTCAGGGGTGGCCAATAAATGATTAAGTGTTTTTATTTACTTTGCAACAGAACCTAACTGAATAAAGGATTAGATTAAATTCTAGGGCAGTTTGCCTTTGATTCAAATGCATATACAGCCTTACTAAAATGCACTTGCATGATAAATCATCTTATGCTGTATATTAATCAACTTGTGTTATGTTAAGTTGGGCTTTTGATGGCTTAATAAAAATTTGAATAAACTCAGCTTCTGCCCATGCTCTTTAATAATTAGTCTTTGTTGCTTTACACCCTTTATAAGTGGAGCACACTTGTTTTTCTCTTCAGACCAGTTAAGTGAAAAGTGTTATTTACAGTTTACTGAAATTCTGGAACAGAAATTGAGCTTTTGACTGGTCACACTGTGGCAAGATGAAGCTTGTTATTCATGAAATGCCACAGGAATCAGTCAATCAATAAAACTTCATTGATCCTGAAGGTTGACCCCGAAGGAAATTAGGTTAAAGCTGCCGACCTTTGCCAGTGCCATCTTACCCTTCCGACCATACATACATTACACAAACCTCACATGGGGAAGACGGGTCAGAGAGGTATAACAATGGAAAATGCACAACATGAGGAGAAAAAAGCCTTGTGGCGATAAGCCAGGTCCGAGCCAGCTCCAATCAGCCAGGACTCTGTTATCATGGTTCCGAATTGGTAGATGTCATTCAAAGTCCTCCAAGAGTGTCGCCAGACACACGGCGCAACCGACCATCGAGTATCCGGCAGCAAACGTCTCTGCAGGACAATCAGGCTCTCCCAAGCTCAGGAGTTGTCAGTTTCGTTAAGGGACCAGTTGATGAAATCCATAATTCTTCTGTAGGTTTTTAGAGAACAAGTCTGGGAGACTCTCTTGGGGTTGGAGAATAAGCGAGACTATACAAAAGACATGAGAAGTGTAGAACATCTGACTAATATTGTTCATTAATGCTGCTTCAATATACCTGTTCCGTGTAGTACGCTGCGCACGCACGCAGTGAGACAGCGCGAAAGTGAGACCCGCCCCCCCGGGAGTGAGGTGGCTTACGTGTAATGTCTGCTCAGTTACACAGTAAGCAAAGCTCGCTAGTAATCACGAATCCAGAGTCTTTACTGAACATCAAACAAGAAGCTAAGCAGGAAAGATAAGGGAGAGGGGAGAGGGAGAAGGAGCTTACTTCTGTGCTTACTACAAGTTCTCCAATCAAATCAATCTTCATTCTGGTTACATGAATTCGCAGGGCCACAGGCTCCAGGTGTTCCAGTAAAATCCAGTCCCAGAAATCTTACCGAACACCGTTTACTGAAATCAAGATTCTAAGGTGAGAGCATGCATGGCGTTTTGGTTGGTGTTGGGTCTGTGTTTCCACAAGCCCCGCTAATTCTAGAGACTTATTCATCATGAAGAAAACAAGACAGTCGATCGATCGATTATTTGCGCAAGGGAGGCCTCGTCTGTGTCCACCACGAAAATGACCCCCAGATCTGACCTCCTCCTGCTATCTTTTATTGAGAGACAGTTCACACAAAACACGTCAGAACAAAGCCACGCCCCCTTGGTTCTAAGACAAAGCATTTTATGTATATGTGTGAACTTCTGTA